ATACTAACGGTAACCAAGAGAATAACCATCAGTAGTTACCACTGACTTAATATTTAAAGAAAACAAAACAGCAAAAAACAGATGTTCACTGTCTCTAATAGATGCACAAGAACCTACTAAGAATTTATCTACCCAACGACTAGCACCAAAGAGCAAATTGCTACTATGCTTCCACCAACTTTTGGTTTAGATAAGCTAATATTATAAACAGAATAATAATCACCATCTATTCAATGTTTACCATGTACCATGTAAGAACTAATTACTTTATAAATATTATCTTACATAGTACTCAGAAACAGTCAAATTTGCCACATTTTATAAATGAAGAAACAGACTCAAGAGAAGTTGATCTCCGCCCAAGGACACAGCCAAGGAGCAATCAAATCCAAGCTTGGCATGCTCCCAAGCCCATGATCTTTCCACTGCATCCCACTGATTTCCACCCTTCTAGCCTGGGCTCTGCTTGCAACTCTCCATTACCTAGGAGGTAAGGAAAGGGCCATTTCTTTCAGGATTACTAATATGGCTATATTGTAGATGCCAGACACCCTAAAATGATCTTGTTTTTAACCTAATAGAACAAAGGAGAAGGTACTGTAAGACAAATTTCCCCTTCTCTGAAGGTGACATTGTGCCACTTACTACAGACGATATATCTACCATCATTGAGTGTACCAAGTCACATCTTAAGAAAACTTAAGGCCCTGGGCAGGTACTCAGTTGATTACAGCATCTTCCTGATACATTAAGGTTTTGGGTTTGATCCCCAGTCAGGACGCATACAATAAATAACAAATGAATGCATAAATTAAGTGGAACGACAAGTCAATGTTTCTCTCTCTCTCTCTCTTCCCCTCTCTACAATCAAATAAATTGTGTTTCCTCTGGAAGTAAACTTCCAGTCAGGCACATTAAAGAAATCTCTTGAAACTAGTTACAAACCAGTAATTTTTTCGGTGTCCTAGGATTTATATTTTCTTCTGGCACGACTCGACATATTTAAAAGTAGACAATTCAAAGGTGTAATCCATATATTCCGGAGCTTCCAAAATGCTACATCCAGCCCTCAAAATTTCTATGCAAGCAGGTGGTTCCAGTTCAACATAGATAAATCGAATTCACAGAAAATTCTCCAATACCACTTTAAAGAAGTGATTTAACTGACGTTCAATTCTTTGCTTTGGCTGTGTCCACACAATGTTAATAAGCTCTAAACTAGCAAAACAAGCAGATGGAAATATCCCAGAATCCTCAAATTAGAGGCTCACTGAGATAAAATGGAAGACTTTTAAAGTGAGAAGTAGCCCTGGCCAGAGAGCTCAGTTGGTTAAAGCATCGTCCTGCCACAACACAAGGTTGTGGGTTTGATCCCTGGTTGGCGTACATCAGGAATCAACCAATGAATGCATGGATAAGTGGAACAACAAATTGATGTTTCTCCCTCTCTCTCTCTCTCTCCCTTCCTCTAAAATCAATTTAAAAAATAAAAATAAAGCAAGAAGTAAACCCTTCCCTATATAGACAAGGAAACAAGTCCTTAAAGGTAAAACAGAGCCTCAATTTCCTCAAATTCAAAATTGGAATAATCCCAGCAGTGTTACTGTAAAGATGATTTTCAACCAGGTTTAAAACAGTAACTGGCACGATCAATTATTGTCCCTATGATTTTATAATCAAGTAAAGTCTTTGGGGAAGCTGAAATAAGAATCCAGTTTCTAAAGTCCCGTTCCCGTTCTTCCAAGATTATCAAATAGTCTACCATTCCAAATTAGGGCTCTCATTCCAAAGCACAATCATCTGCAAATATCTAGTGGCTTCAACTACTGATTCATAATATGATAGTTTAAACATAAGGATAAATGAAGGTTTTGCCCAAGGCTGTATATAAACTGGTCAGCAACCTTACCTAACTGGTTTTCAGATTCAGCATCCACAGCACAAGAACTTGCCTAGGTAACCTCTACAGCACCTACTCTACAACACACTGGGTTCAGCAGTAAGCTTCCTAAACAAAACAAAATAAAATCAGGCTCTCACAGTTTGGCAATTCACTTCACTTAGAGAAATTTTATTTCCTTGGTAGGAAAAAAAAATTAGACATGATCACAAAAAGCTCTGAAAACTCAGGGGTTTTGGTTTTGTTTCTAAGTCCTTTCCCATAAACGGGTAAAAATCATTACACTATCGTTGAATAACTGAAGTCCATGTTCTCAACCCTGAAGGTGATTCTTCAGATTTCTGGGCCATCATTTAGCTGCTCATCACCTCTCCACATCCTAAAATGTTAAGACTACTTACCTTCATCTTAAAAGTGATAAATGAATGTATTAAAACACTAAGTAGTTATGACCCCAATGGAATACTTCCACGAGTGAGCATAAGGATTAACCCTGAAACACTCCAGACCAATGTAGAATGATGGTAATCGCTTCATGAACTAAAGAACCACTAACACTGTATGTGTTCTGAGATTTGCACACGTTTTGGGAATGACTATTTAAATCATGGGTTTAAACAAGTTGCCATTAAAACTAACATATTAAAACTATGTTGGATATGGGGAAGAACTTCCCAGGAATATAAAGCCAACTGTTTGCTTGGAAAAGAAATAACTTCTTCTAACAGGTTGTCATTTAAATATCTTCATTCATTTTTTTTCCTTGTTAGAAAGAATAAAAGTTGTTATAACCAAACTGTTTTGGCTGTTGTCACTAAAAAGAATATACTAGAATAGTCCAACTTTTGGTGATCCCAAGAGCAGTACTTGTTGGATTCCTATCAAACACTTGAGAAACAAGTTGATAGAGTAACCTCAAGTAACTAGTTTGCATTTGATCAAATAAATTTTGATCCAATAAATGGTCATATTCTTCTGGATTAGCAAGAAATATTTCACTGATCTCAGTTCATCCAGCGATACATCCCCAAAAGTGAAAAAGTAAACTTTTCTGGGAAGAGGATTTCCATACTAAGACCAAGAAAGGAGTTATCAGTGACTACAGTGGCACCTATAAGTACTTACGAATTTGTGTGCAGATATTCAAAGGTTAGCTGAGCTCGATTCAGACTGCTGTAATTTGTGAAAGCCATAACTGCAGTGAGGTCCAGTCCTTTACCAACTAACTGGGAAATACAACCTTACAACAGAATAGATTTTCCAGGATTCCTTCCAGAAAGGTTTGGTAATTAGGCTGCGCTCCTTACAATTAAACAAGATTACTGAGTACCTATCAAAAATATATTCAGAGATGTCTAAAACTACAATTGATTTCTCCCACAAGATTTTATCTTCTCAGACTCTGATGTAGTATCTTGAATAGAACTATGTGATAAATCTGTGGTCTCAAGGAGCTTTGGCGTTAAGTCGTCGATAGTTCAATGAAGCGAAATGTGGATGATCTTGAAGGACATGGTACGGAGTTGGCGCTTTTATTACTGCTCCATCTTCACTTTCTTCGAATTCTTTTTTGTTCTTCTAGGAAATTTACCAACCCGGAAACTTACCAATCCGGAAATTTATCAACTTCTGTTATAAAACTGGACAATCACCCATGTCTTCGCCATCAATGATCCCAGGATCCTTAAACAGATCCCACAGTGGCGACTGCGATGTCGAGTATATATGGCGATACTTCCGGCTTCACCAACTCCCAACTGAAAGATCTCTTAACCGCTGATGGTGGATTCCTGTTTTCAGGGCCCCACCCTAGTCGCCCCAGGCTCGTGGGTCAAATTACCTCACAATGACCCACTAAAAGGCCTCAGAATTAATCCGTCCTCAGGCGGGCGGCACCCCTCCCCCACTCTCCTCAGAGAGCGGCCTCAGCCTCTCAGGCCCTTCCCGGGCCTCTCCTCAGGGAAAGGAGGCCCAGCTTTCAAAGCCCAGATCGAGGGCAATGAAGAGCGCACCACCCGACCGGGCGTTTCCCAGCGCTCACGGATGCCTTTGTCCCTCCCCACGGAACTGGAACCCTACAACCGCAGCGCGCTCTTGGAACCATGTGCTGCCGCCGCCGCCGCCGCCGCCACTGCCGCCGCCGCCGCCGCGACACGAGCCGCCCGTGCACCTCGATGAATGAGATGATGACAGGACTCAGCACCACGAAATTGGGCTTTTAGGGCTGCTTCGCAGCCCCTTCCGCGGCCACCTCAGCCCCTGCTTTGTCTCCGCTAGCGCACACGAAACGGGCTGCCTCGCACACTCCCCGACGCCCCAAACCCCCGAGGCCTCCGCGGCGCATTCAGCCAATCATAGAGCCGCAGCTCCTCCCACCCCGCCCTAAAACGACGCCGCCTGATTGGTGTACAGCGTGTGTCCACGTGACCGGATCTCGCTAGCCGGGCCCGCCCCTGTCACGTGAGAGAACGCGCCTCTCTTCCTGCTTTCCTGACCCTCTCCGCCATTTAAAGAAACAGTACCGGGGGCGGGCCGAGCGACGCAGCCGGGACGGTAGCTGCAGAGCGGACCGGAGGAGCCATCTTGTCTCGTCGCCGGGGAGTCAGGCCCCTAATTCGAAGAAGCCCTGGCGCGCCCTCCCCCCCTCCCCGGTCTGGTAGGGCGAAGGAGCGGGCGCGCGGTCGATCGAGCGATCGGTTGGCGGCTCTTTCTCCTGCTCTGGCATCCAGCTCTTGGGGCGCAGGCCCGGCCGCCGCGGCGCGCGCCCGGTGGCCGTTGGCGCTCGCGCCGCGTCTTTCTTCTCGTACGCAGAACTCGGGCGGCGGCCTATGCGTTTGCGATTCGACGAGGAGTCGTCCGGGTGGTCGGCGGTGGCGGGCAGCTGCTCCGCCCCGCTCCCGGGGAGGCGGCGGCGGGATTTGGCGCGGCCGGGGAAGCGGGGGTGGCCGGGGCGGGCCTGGAGGCCTGGCGCCACCCTTCGGGGCCTGCAAGGACCCAGTTGGAGGGACAGGAAGGTGCTGGGGGATGGTTGGTGGTGGGCTTTCTACTTTGCCTTTTCCTCCTCATGCCGCCTTAGTGAGAGGCGGGAGCTCTGGCGGCAGCTCGGGGGTGGGAGACAAGCTCCGGAGTCGGAAGAACTGGGTTTGCTTCCGGGCCTAGCCACCAGCTGGCCGAGTGACCTTAGGCAAGTCACTCTGTAATCTGTCTGCGCCTCAGTTTCCTCCTTTGCCTATCGATGTTTGTGGGATTAAAATCGCTTTATAAACTATAAAGCGTCAGTGTACGTAAGGGATAATTATTGTTTGTAAATTTTTTTGAGTTGCAAGAAAACAGCAATTGCCCAATCCATGGATTTTGAAACTGGGAACCTTGGATTGGAGTTGGAGATCCCCAGACTCTCTGAAATTGTATGCAGAAATTAGTGCGAATGTGCATTTTAAGGGGATGAGGACCCATCACCAACAAGTTTTCAAAGGGCGGAATCACCCCCGAAGAGTTAACTGCAATTTGTTTATGCCATAGGGAGGAAACTGAGGCCTACATGTCATTTGGGATCCTTCACAACCAATTTGAAGCCCCTGTTTGAATCCCTGGGATATGTGAGCTTTTTTGTGCGTAATGGGTATTCGGGGTAACAACACTCCACTGCTTGGCTTCTTTTCTGAGTCTTTTCTTTCCCCATAGGGTGCCTGAAGTGTGGCTAATACATATGGTACAGTGGCACCCGTTATAAAGCAGCGGAAAACAAGAGTGGATATGTTCTCTAGTATCAAGAAGCATATTTAATCTTTGGCCCAATAACTGTTTGTTGCTGCTTATACCGGTGCCTGACTGCCTTTCTGACTCTTTCACTGACCATTTTCTACGACCATGTTTGCCATCTGTTACTTGCTCCTATTTTATATCCCTAGTCTATGTGGTTGGTAGTGAGCAGGCATATTTTTAAATGGTGCTGCCAAGTCTAGCTAATTAATAGTGCAGGTGGATTTTTAGCAAGCTGGCTCTCTGAAACAGACTGAATGAACCAGACATGGAATTCCTGAAGATGTTGGGGGTTATCTTTATTAACTGAAGGTTAACATTCTTTGAGAAGTTTTGTTAGAACCTCTGCTGAACCTCAGAATCAGTAGATTTGGAAGTGTTTCAAAGCTTAACTTTCTCCTGGACTGCTTTGTATTCTATTTGCTTGCAAGTATGTACTAAGGTGGCCAAAATGCCAGTTTTTGCTTCTCTGTTAATTGTCAGCTGCTTTTATCTAATTCCAGGCTATTGCCCAGCAAACACTATAGAAATGTTTGAACAGTTGGATTTCAAACATTTTTGTTTTGTGGAGTGGTACAGCTCTAAGCAAGCGAACACACAAGTTTAAATGTATTTTGTCTGGTTAGGTGTTACCTGGTTCTCCTATTGCATACTAATATTTGGAAAAAAATCAGTTGACTGTACCCTTTACCTAAAGGGCAGAGACAAATGATCTCACTGCCAGAGAAATAACTTTTCTGGAGAAAGATGTATTGGTTTTTTGTAATAAAATCTGGATGTACTGCAAAAGAATCATAAGACTGTGGTGATAAGATGCTTTTCTTGGCAGAAGGGGGAAAAAAAAAACAACTGGAACTCAAAGCTTGAGATTCTGTGATGAAATGTGAGATGTCCAGGATAGGAGGTTGAAAGTGTTTCACTACAGTGTTCTGCATTAGCTGGAGCAGATGTCTTTCAGTGTAGCCACGGCATGGACTCCAGATTTGCAAGACCGGGGACCTGCAGGAGCTTATGAAGATGTGACAAGAACTCTGGAGTTGGATGTCCTTACTTTTGAATTGTGGGACTATTGACCTCACTTTCAGAAGAGAGACTGACTAAGCAAGCAATGCCACCAGCGCTCTTATGGGGAATTCAAAGTCCTGAGTTTCTGCCAGACCCTCAGTTGCAAACTGGTGACACTGCATCCTAAGTGAACTACGGTACTTGCAATTTTCCAAAATGAATCATTCTTTACCATCTCTGCACTTTGGTTCATACTCTCTTCTCTACCCTGAAATGTCATCATCTGGTTCTTTACCTGACAAAACTGCCATTTTCTCAATATACACCTCAGATGCTCTCTTCTCCATGTGCCTCTTAACTTTAGCCAGAAATACGCTTATAAAAATTTTGTTATATATTTTTTATCTTTGTATATGAACCCTGTAAAGTAGTCATTTGCATGCTTTTTTTTCTTTGTCTCTTGCAGATAGCAAACCCCTTGGGGAAAAAGGGATCTTATCTTAACGAATCTTTGCCCACACATACTACCACATACGATGAAGCTTTTAATAGAAAGGAGGAATGTAGAGAGCAGGCTATCTCAGAATAAACATTCAGTAAGTGCTTGCTTAATTATTGTGTGATAACCTGGTTACTCTTGATTAGGAAAAAAAAACCACTAGTTATGCACCATGCTTCTTCCTTTGTTTTATGTTTTTATTTTTTAACTGAATTTAAAGAAGATTTCAGGAGCCCTGAAAGAAAGAGAAACTAAAAAGTTGCGTAGGTTATTACAGAACGGTGCACAGACTAGAACTTATTCCCAAGGTACTCTATTCTCCCCCATTCAAGATGTAATCTTGTTAAAATGAACGTTAAGGACAGCTTTCTTTCATAAAACAATTTAAGAAAGGCATTAGAGAAGGAAGAAGGGCAGTATCTCCTTTGCCGTGGTGTTATGTAAACTTAAATTCGGTTCTTGTGCCTCTGGTAGAGCCCTTCCCCACCAACCACTGCCCAGCAGCCTGGATACAGTCAAGTTACTCCCCTAAAAGTATGAAATTTAGGGCAGTTCCAGAGACAGTTTATTCTCAAGAGTCAGAAAATGGTCTTTCCCAGAGAACTCTATGTTCTTATCATCAGTGATTGTAAGGCTTTCCCCCCCCCCTTTATCATCTGTCAGCTCTTCAGTAAGGTTTATCAATAATTAATACCCCTCACGCAGCTAATGTGCGGATAGGCCCACCCCAGTGTTAGAGTGCTACGTAGGTAATTCCATGCCTTTGTTACCTGTTTTGTCCCTGAACCTTCTCACCATCTTCCTTGTGCTGTTTCATCAGCCTACAGATTTGGTACCTGGATTTTTACCCATGGTGATTCCGGTCACCTTACTACTGAAGAAGACACCTTTCCAGTGGACCACTGTGACCCCAGGAGCAATCAGCCATCATCATGTGGCCTTCACCTCCACTCCTGTCCTATTCTACCCAGATTGAGCATCACCCTTTATGTGAAGTCAAACTCCTGAAACCACATAGCTGAAGCTGTTTAATCACAACAAAGGCCCTTAAGTGTGTATTTTGTTTCTTCAGTTCAAACCTTCAGAGACACATAATAAATTTGGACCAGGGGATTTTTAGTTATCAACACTGAAGAATGGCAACATCTTCTTGAGAGCAACATTGGACCACATCCCACAATCTCAAATGTTTGAAGTTTATGAAGTGTCAAGAATCCCATCCATGTCACTGGACACTATTCTTTTTCCACTTCAAATCTATAGTATCCTACTGAATGAGAAAATAGATATTCTGACTTACTGGAATTAAAACAAAGGCACAGTGAAGGCCTCATAGCATCTTCTTTGGGATTACTCAGGAACCAGAACTTTTCATGCAAATGTAAGAAATTTTACAAAGGAATCCTTTACCTAACAGCATCTCACAAGGCTTCAATCAGATTCCAGAAAAGGCCTCTTGAGATATCCAGGTAGACCCTATATGGTAATCCCTTATGTTTATATCGCACTTTACAGTTTCCAAGCACTTTCACATGTATTAATATCAATTATCAAAATCACACAATAAATTATAATCCCTTTTTGCAAATGAGGAAATGGGATTTGAAAGATTGTCCAAAGTGACACTGCTACCAAGTGGTACAAGCCAAGCCTTCTGACTCCCAGTCCAGTTCTCTCCTTGGAATTAATTTAGCCTCTACTTTACCCACAATGTTAAGATGACTGCAGGTGGGGAACCCCAGGAAAGTGTTCCAACTTCCTTATCTGGTGCCCTCAACCAGGATGTCATAAACTGTACCTAGACCAGAATGCTACGGAAACACCCCTAAGGTTTAGGAGCAGACTATCTTCTATGGTGGTAGATTGTCCAGTCAACAAGACACATTTTTATCTGACAACACTATACAACATGAAACACAAAGCTAGAGATCTTTGTCCATTTTAATGGTCTTCCCAAAGATAGGCTAACTGACTAGAGATCCTTGTTTGTTTGTTTGCTTTTAAGTCCCATACTCTAGGACACGCAAGATCTTAGCTATGGTTCTTAACCCCCAAACACATATTTACACAAAATGAGCCATCCATGTAAAGCAATGAGGTTTATGTGTGCATATTTACATGTGTGACATATACATATATGTCATACAGAGATTCTGTAGTCCAGTAAGGTGGTAAAAATACTGTAAATTGTCCCCTCCCTGATTGATTATGTGGTATAGTATGTTAGAGGATCTCAGAGGGCTTGCAGCAAAAAACTCATTTAGCTGTTTGGCCTAGTATGTTTAAGACAAGCACAGGATGGTATTTTTGCATCATTTTAATGGAATGAGGCAACTGCCTTAATGTGGCATAGCCAGTGCTTCCTGAATGCCAGCAGATTGCCCTGGAAACCCAGGAATAAATTGCATCTTTGAAACCTCTCCCCTCTTATCAATAACTGCTTTGAATTAGTATGTCTTTATCATCTGAGAGTCCTTTATTTTGACCATTACCTTGATTTTTCTGTCAAGGGAACCTCTAGAAGACTTCTGGAAACGTGGGCGGGGAGAGGAGAAAAGTTAATTTATCTGAATTTGGATGGATTCTGTCATTTAGCCATGTACTTTCTGTCCCTAGAGTTGTGCTGTAAACGTAATTCAAGGGCATTGCATCTCAGGTGGGTGAGAAGATTGGGAAGGGAAGAGGAAGGGGGAAAATGGAAGAGGAGTGAGCAGGAAATATTTTCTTAGAGTTTCTGAGTTGAGGCCCACTGAGATCTATCAGTGCTTGAAGAGAAGTCTTCCAGACATGGAATTCTTGGAATAATATTTACAAAGAAATGAATGCATTTTGTAACTGTATGTTGACTGCAAATACCCCAGTGCTGTTGTCACTTAAAACCAATAGCCTTGTTCTCTGATAGTCACAAACCGAATTTCAGGCAATGAGAATTTATAGCAGATTTGAATGTTAATTTCTTAATTCTATAAATGTAGCCCACCTTTGGGGAAGAATGACTAGGAAACACCTTGGCCTGCCAAAGGCTTTGCTCACAGTTTCTGGTTTGTGACATTTTTTGTATTTCAGCATTTTGTGAACAACTTAATCTTAGATCATTGGTTTTCCAAAGGCTTTGTGGCCATGACGTCCTTTGAATGAAAACTGTGGTGAAGCCTAAAGTAAAAGTGAAGCTGCTCTGGATGAAGCAGGAATGGGGGGCCTGAAACCTGCCACAAGCATCTTCCTTTGCCACCATGGTGACACCTAAGGAGACTTTACAACACTTAAAATTCTTCAGAACACATTTTGAAAAACACTGCCCTAGATGACAATATGTTTGACCTGAATGGTATTCTGATCTGTACCTCTACCCTAACCAGTCCATGTTCAGATGGTGCTGAATATTCTTAGGAATACTTACTGTGGACAAATTCAAAAAAGTACAAGAAGATGGCTATGTCTTTGTCGTCCCCCCCTCGAGAAGTTATATAGGCCAAAAGTGGTATCAGCCGGACCTAAAATTACAGCCCTCTACCCTCGATGGACTTCCAGTGATTCCTGGTTTTGGATATAGACTGAGTAATAACTCATACATACTTTATACTGACAGACCTTGTTACCCAACTTCTTTCACAAACACCAGATGCTCTAGTGGTACTTGAAATATGTGAATTTGAAGTCTCGATTCTCCTTGAATACCTGAATTGCCAGGTATTGAAGCTGATGCCTCATTGAGGCCATAGTAGACCAACTTGTACATTTGGACCTCCCATCATCAGCTGTGGTACTCTACTTCATATGAAAGTGATAACCGTTAACTATGAAGCAGAATTCAAATACTGGCAACATAAAGGGTACCTGGTTTTATGTTCATCTTATTCTCAAACTACAAGTTGCTATGACTCAACCAGTAGTGGTTATACTGCTGCTTGGTTTTTATTCACTTTAACTGCTGTTTCCAGGATAAATGAGCTAATAACCTTTAAAAAAACTAAATTCCATTGCTATATCTGCCTGGCATAGTCTCTAAATTATGAATACCCAGCTCTAACTACATGTAAGACCTGATCCACAAGAGGCAGTCTTTAAACATCTTTTCTCATGTATGTGATTTAAAATGTGACCATTTGAAAAGTTTTCTTACACCAATGAGCATTTCTCCTTAAGATGGGTCCTATGATGTCTGGTACCATCAGCTGTAGGTATTAGGGATATTTTGAAGTAGGCCTTTTGACTGGGCCGTGATAGCTTGCTTGCTGAGAATCTCAAGTTGGTTTATCATCTACACTTTTTTTTTTTTTTTTTTTTCCTGGAAATGTGGACTGACATGAAAAAAATCTACAAAGCCTGCAGCTGATTTTGTCAGTAGACTCAAGCTTCCTGCTGCTGTTTCCTAATGTCACAAGACCACAGTCCCTTATTCTTGTGGATGTGTTCATGGAATTTTATCTGTCTTGATACTGTTTTACACTGATTCAGAGTGGCTGACTTTATTCCTTGCCATGAGATGCTCTCAGGCATTGAGACAATTTAACCTGTTTCTGCAGCAAGGATTGTTTATGAACTTCCAGACCGTATCATGTTGAACAACTAGACTTTGATTTACATCGTGAGAAAAATCTCATTTACTTCACAGTTGACTTAAGGGCCAGCTGTCCTCAACTACTTTAATGAATGCACTGGTTAAATGTTGGAAATGGTTTCTTTATATCTCTTATCCACTAGATTAATTTTGATTACATGACTTGGTATGCCGATCGTCCAAGTGGCCTAAGTGGTTACTTTTGGCTGCTCACCATCAACAAAAATAAAGATGACTATCCTGCTTCCATATGCAACTATTATTTGTGAAGAAAAAATTATCTACAAACTCAGTTTTTTCACTACCTTCAAAATATCAGCTAGATTCTTTTTTCTCCAGAGAAAAAGACATTGATCTACACTGCCATTCATTCCCTTTAATCCTGTCCAACTCAGTCAAAATGAGGGGCCTAAGGTGAAGATGATCATCTTTCAAGAGTCTAATGAATATTGTGTATAAGAATTGAAGGTTGAAAAAACAAAAGGCCTAAAATTCAAACCTAGGATCTTACCTATTATCTCCATGCCTCAAATCTCATCTAAGTCTGTCCAGCAGCACCATTCAACCAGTTTGAGGCCTTGACTTGTTTTTAATTCCCAGAGATGTACTGAATTACACAAGATGGAGACTTGATTACCAAAGAAAGTAGGGCCAACTTTGAACCCTATCACTCACAGGTGTAGCATAGACACATAAACAACCTCAAGTCTGAATTGAGAATACAGCCTTCTCTTGAGCTGAAAATTCTTGGGCAGATGAGCAGGAAAATGGAAAGCTGCTGTACCTAACTGGGTATTTAAGGTCAGAAAATTGTATCCAGAGTAAACGCTATGGATTAACCCTGGAGTGCTCAGGGTAGAAACTTAATTTACAGAGCTTTGGTATTAAACTATGTGTTCCATATCATATCCTAGTTATTGGTGTGGCTGGCCCTGCTGAAGGTACCCTACTTGTCTATCTGACTCAGCCCATGTCTTTGTTGACATGTTTGTTCAATCAGACTTGCTGTCCTCAAGACTACAAGTGATCTCAGCCTATCTTACACCCAGTTCCACCAAGATGTTTTAACAGAAGTAACCTGCACCTCACCCCACCAGGACTTAATGTTCTCAACAGGAAGGACTGTGCTGTGTACTCTGATCAGCAGCAGCCTCTTTTTTTTTTTTTTTTTTTTTTTTTTTTTTAAGTGCAGAGGAAGCATCTCTCTAAGCCTATATATATTTGATCACTTTCAGCACCTGGGACCCCTTCTACCAGATTTGAAGGAGTATAACAGGTCAAAAGCACTGTCAGTTTCTCTCTTCTGCAGTAATACAGAGGTGAGTCTCATTCACCAGTACAGAAATGAGAAATGTTCAACTTGGCAAAAAACTTGAACAAAATAAAAGTTTTCCACAAACTTAAAACTTACCACTGACTTGAATAGCCTCATATAACTATTTGCCATTGGGAGGTCAGTTGTCTTGCATTATGTCAACTAGATAGTTGGGCTCTCAGACTCATGTTACTTATATTGAAACTCCATTGAATAATCCAGAGTATGTTACTGGACATGATCATTCCAATGGATTATAAACTTCCTGAGTACAGGACATAATCCTCATGATGATTTTCTTTCAGAATACTTTTATTATCAAGAAAGTAACAATGCCAGATGTCACCATTCAACTTTATGAGCAAAGATTAAACTTTTTCAATATCTGGTCTTATCACTGATACTATTTTTAATTGACCAGCAGTTCATTCCTTCTCTTTGTAACAGCTCCCTGATGTTTCTTGGAACCATATCTATTTTCAGTCCGCGTAGTTCAGACAGTCTGACTTAACCTTAGGTTTCATGTTGGACATGTAATTCAGACCTGATCAATCAGCAATCATCTCCTTTGCCATAGTGATTGACTCAGGAATGGTCATGTGATTCAAGATGATCCAGTGATACTCGACCCTAGGAGTTTTACTGAACTGTGGAAGAGGAAAAGCTCAGAAACTTGATTTACTGAGGTTGCTTAGCTTTGTAGGATGAAAGAGCTCAAACCAACAGGGTCCACCATATCAAATGAGCCAGTCAGAAAATGAAGCCAGTGCAGAGGAAAGTGGAGCCAAATGATGGAGACTTGCGTCCTGATGACAATGTTTGTGCTCCTGATCCACCCGTGCCTGAAGCTAGTATATCCTCTGGATTTTTTCAGTTTTGTGAACCAATAAATACTCTTTTGTTTAAGTTACTTTGAGTTGGGTCTCTATTGCTTGAAATTGAGTCTTAATATACTATCTACCAATATTGAAATTTGACAGGTCCAAGTATTTATTAAACCATAGGTCATGGTCACAGTGAAAATATTAAGAAATCTCATGTCTTTGAAAATGAGTATACTCATTACGTATGGACATGGGAAAATAGCCATGTTATATAAAGTGAAACATGTGATTTTAAAAAAAGTATAGTATGAACTCATTTTAAATTTGTTTATAATTATGTAGAAAGCCTTCTAGTGGTGTTCTTTGGGCAACATAGATTATGTGAGACTTTGAACTAGATACATTTCTGTATTTGAATATTTTTCACAACTTACATTACTCAAACTATTTAAAAGTAAAGGATTCTTAAAATTAATTTTAGTGCTTACTGTTGGACCTTGGCAAGTTACTGAACAGTGAGCCTGTTTCATCAAATAATTTTAAATACCCACCTTTATCTTAGTGAATATTTTGATAAACATATTCATCATTCATTACTCAAACTGACATTTCTGCACCTTGTTTGAGAAACCCTGAGCTCAGTAATTGTTCCTTAATTTTTCAAGCACCTCTCTTTAATGTTCAAGTGTATTCAAAATACCAGATTTTTATAGTTTCAGTCACCAAAAGATTGTTTTAGTTCTCAATGGATGTTAATTTATTAAGACCTCTTGCAGTTTTCACACTAGGCAGAAAGGAAAGTCGCATTTTCTTTGAAATCTGAGTATTCTGAACTCTCACTGCAATCAAGGTCAATAATAACTTTTTTATTACTAAGTTCATTGCATATACATTGTATTTGAACTTTCAGCAGCACAGACAACTCCCACCAGCGTCTTGACGTCCTTTAGGTGCAAAAGCTCTTCCCATTTTCTTCCCATCATTTAAATATTGGTGTAGTAGATGATCCTTTATTTTTGTCTCCCCCAAATTATTTTCCTTTTCCTTTATTGATGGATCCCCATTTTGCCTTTGGACCACTACTCCTTCCAATTCTGCGGTGTTAGTGAAACTAAATTAGAGTATTCTGACCACCTAGCTGATGTTTGGTGTGTGCTCTGAGTTTGTCCAATCAAAATTCCCTTCCCCCACCAGGACTTTGAGTCTTAAGAGAGGTGACAGACAAAAATGTAGAACCTGAGTCATTCTGCTAGAAAGTATAAGAGTTCGTGTAAGGACATTCCCACAGGTGCCCTGATTCCTATTGCCTGTTACCCAGATTTGCCTTTGTGTAGACTGCCATATATCCTCCTTATGTTTCCCTTTTTTTTTGGAAGCCAAAGAGGATTTCTGTTGCTTGCAACCAAATGACTGATTATTGAAATTAATAACAATTAAGTAGTTGGCTTCAGACCCTCAGGAACATGGAGGATCTGGAATGGATTATTGTACTGAGACTGAATTAAAGGCAGTAACTCTAGCTCTATGTTCCGGGGTGGGGGCGAGGGGAGTGGCAGTGGCAGTTGAGCAATATATAGTGGCAATAGAGCAAGTAAAGAGACTTCCCCTTGTCATCTGGAATCATGTGCCTATTGCAGGCAAAATTTAGGTAACTAGGTAGCTGTTGACAATAGGACTATTGGAAGTGAATAATAAAAGCCAAGACCTTTGAGTTAGGATGGTTATTTACTTGGATTGCACTGGACAATTTAAAGACAGCAAGCTCTAACCCAGAAACTTACCTGCAGGCATGGAATAAAAAAAGCCAGCTCCTTTCTATGTCCAGGATGAATGAATCTCTGTGCTTAATTCCAAAACTACAACTCAGAGTTTGATTCCACAAATTGCAAAATCACAGTGCTGATTGAATTTCCAGCGGTGTTAATCAGAAAAGAGGCTAGCAGAGTTCTGGTATCTGGGAGGATTCAAAAGACTTGGAAAATACCAGTCCTTGCATATCTCAGGGATGAAAGAAAAACATGGAGTTTACAGAGAAGATAAATACCAACTACAGTCTTGTGACATATTGCAGAAGTAAGTTCCATAGCCTTTACCCAATAGCTCTGAATTTGCCTTGTCTTCATCCACCTCTCCTCTTTTGCCTTTTCAGTACTTTGCCCCTAAAACCTAGCTGAAGTGCAAGCATGATCCAAGTTAGTCTGATCAGATTTCCCCTCCATTTGAACTGAGTTTCTGCTGGCAGTATCCCCCTCACTAATGTATATGGGTGTGCTGGTGAAGGTTAAATATATCCTAAATCCATACATTGTAAATTATCAAGATGTGGTTAAGAACTAGGGGAGAATGACTATCGCCCAGAAATCTTAGACTTGACACTGTGATAACTGGAAATTAGATATCTCCCTCGGGGAGAAGATGAATCTATTTTATACACTATGTTGAATGGAAGCATTTACAAAATTGTTCATGATGAAGAATCCATGTTCTGGGCAGCCAAAGGATAGAACCTAATGGGTAGCTGCATTTACCTACCCAGTGTCTTTTCCTTCTGCCTGTGAGAATAACTCCTCACCTTTCTTTGAGAAGATACCCCTCTCCTGTGATACCAGAAGATGATATGTAAGAGGCATATGAGTTCCTGTTACTAAGATTTCATCCGTTGCCCAGGTTCCTGGTTAAGCTGCTCTAGTTTTTATGAACTGCCTCATGTCCTTCCAGTTAATTACATTGGCTGGGTAGGCTGCTAGATATGGCTACACAAGGTGTCCCCATACAACCATATAAAAAGATGCTGTAGCCAAGGTTCATTTTTGTTGCTTACAGCTGGAGAATGCCAACTGGCTCAGTGTTCCTCCTATGTCTTAGGTGTTCTTGCCCCATAGACTCAAAAATCTCATTCTCATGGCTTTGGTTTCCAATTTTATGTAAACTTACAGATTCTTACCATAAGATGTATTTCCTGAGCTCCAGATCTGAATGCCCACCTGTTATCTGTATATCCCTCTGCTTGATAACACACAGATGCCTCACACTAACCCCCATCGTTTTCCCCTCAAAATCTGCTCTTCTAGTGTACCCTTTTCCTGACAAATGGCAAAACCTTTGACCCTGTTTCTTAAACTAGAGCATGGCCATTGTTCTTGATGCTCCTTTTCTTTCACCCCAGGCATTCCTATTAATCATTCAATATTCTTGGTGTATCATGAAGATACACCTCAAAACCATCTTCACTTTTATCACCCTTGTCCAAGACAACGGTATCTTGCTAAGGCTACTGTGATGCCCTTCTATTGGTTTCACTGCCTCTACCATTGTCCTACTATTCTTTGCAGAGAACCTTGGAGTAGTTAGTCTTTGATACACAGATCTAGTTGGGTCACTCACCTGCCTAAAATCTTGTAGTAGTTCCCCAATTATTTCAGAATATAATACAAACTTTTATTCAGAAATCATCGTTTACAAGATTCTTCCTTATTTTCCTTCTCCAGCCCCATCTTTCACCACTTCAAACATAACAACTTGGCTTTGTATATTGGTGTTTTCTGTAATAATTTACTTGAAAAAAAAATTCCACATTTTTAAAAAGAAATTTTCATTTAAAAAGATCGAAACCCAAAACCACAAGGTGGAGGCATAAGTAAACACAACTCATCTTGCACAACCACAGCAAAAACTACAGAACAACTGTCATCCAGGATTGTCAGAAAGTCGAGCTGTACAGAAGTCCAACAACCAAGGAATTAAGTCACCTTCATTTAGACAAGTATGAGGGACAGAGATGTGCAATGGACAGTCCAGCACTGACATGTGGATAAAATTTGGGAGGGATATCTTGTGAGTGAGAAATCCCAGACCACCCAGCCCAAGGTTCCAGTGCCAGGAAGATAAGTTCCCATAACTTTTGGCTGTAAGAACCAGTGGGGGTTGGGGCAGTGGAAGTAACTGTGAAATTCTCAGCTTGTCCTCTCAGAGAGTCTGCAACACACTTAGGGCTTAGGTAGACTCACTCCCTCTGAGCTCCAGCACCCCTCGGGGAG